ATATAAAATTATTATATAATTTATATATTTATATAAAATATCAATTTTGCACTGGATGTAACTAGCAAATAGAATAAAGTCTTACTTGAGTAATCTTGGTGTTAGGCCATAAGATACCCCTAGATAGTCTAGGTTTTCAGCTTGTCTCTCGCTCAGTTTGAGAAGTAAAGGAGGCAAGTCTTTCCGAGGTGTCACAACCTCTTCTAATAAACTAACAGTCTGAAAAAAGAAATTGGAAATGGGTTAACAGCAATCCTCATGTAAACCTGCAAATTCCATCTCTTATTCTCTATAAAAAAATAAATATGAGTATTTCCTCCTTACACAGAGAAATAACCATCAAGACTTACAATGAAAAACAAACAGCTAAGCACAACAGAAAATACAAGAAATGTACTGGACTCCATACCTCACTGCTCACAGTTGCAATTTCTTTCGGCTTTTGAATTGTTTTTTCTTCCAAACATGGGAATTTGCCTTCATAGTACATCTGCAGTAAAGTCAGAGCTCTGCTGCCATAGCCCATCTGTGAAGTAGGAACAATACACTCTAAGAGAGAGCTGTATCTAGTTTTTAAGACAGAACAATAACATTCTCCCCTTCCAAACCCATTAACAATCACCAGTGCAGAGATCACTTGGTCACTGCAAAAATGCTTTTATTTTTTGCTACATAGCAGCTCCATGAAAGACATTACAGAACCTGGATGTCCAAAATCACAACGAGAGCCCAGCTGGTAGTTCAGGACTGTGTAATAATTCTTGGTGCTTAACTCTGGCACTCAGAAAATGCCAACACCAGCATGAACACCTGGTAATCTCACAATAAATATCACTGGATCCTGATTGTACACTGCTGCTTAGGATGCTGGCACGCTACAATGCTGCCACGTAAGGACAGGAGCACTGGTTTGCTACCCACCCAGAGGAAAGCAATGCCCCCCAGCCTGCTGTGGCATCTCACCATTTCCATGCGTATGACTTCACTCTGGTACTACCATTGGCTCATTCCCAAGCTTAAAATATTGAAAACTGGAGCAACTGAAATGTTTGCCCTGCTCCTGAATTCTGCCTGTACAGCCATTTTCATAGTACCACTGCTGACTATTCACAATAACTGGGTTCCAAAATACTTTACCCCCTGATAATCTGGATGAACTGCAATACGAACAACACGTCCACCAGAGAGGCTGCCAAAGTCAGGATCTTGGAACTGCATAAGAGACAAAAGTCAATTTAAAGAACACAAATGGGTACTATGGAAATAAGAAATAGTGCTGAAATATATTTTGAGTGTGAGTACAGAGACAAATTATTCACCTGCTCTGAAATGGTCCAGGGAATAAGATCACCAGAAGCTTTCTTTCCCCTAGAAAGGCTGTTCATGATAGACTGGCGAGAGATCTCTCCCTCCATGCACACCTGCCAGAAAAGGTGAAAGACCATTAATGGAGAAAAAGCATTTTCTCCTCCAGTCACTCCACTACAGCAGAAGCAAAATTCATAGTCTGTTGTTGCAGAGTTCACTATGCAGCACTGACATTTCATGTGATCCCTGCTCTGCAACATGATGAGCAAACATGTATGTGCTGACAAAGAGGCTCTGTCCCTGAAAGCCCTGTCACAAAAATCACACCAGTGGGCCACCCAGGTACATCTGATGCAGTACGTGTTACACTACTGGAGAGATTCAAGCATAGAAAGTGCTCAATGCATTTTCAGCAGTCCATCTACAGCAAACATAAAAGCTTGTCCCATCAATATTTCTCTTTAAATGTCATGTATTTTTCATATAAATAGCTCTTTTTCTTTTAAGAAACAGTAGATTTAACTAGCTGCATCAAACACAGATAATTCAGAATCTGTGTTCTTCAGGAAGGAAGGAAGCATATAGTGAGATATCCAACAGTCAAGGGCTAAAATATTTCTGAGCATGTACATCTGAGGAGTTTCTATTTTTGCAGTTCTGTTGCAAATAAAAGGAGAGCTAGAAACATGGGATCAGCAGAGTGAACCAACTCTCCTTGCAGGAAGTTGAAATGTGAGCACACAGTCATCTCTCAAAGTACTAGTTCAGCTCCCCAGAAAGCTTCCCAGCACAAAAAACACTGTGGAGACTGGGAGGTCTATGTGAAAGGATCAGCATCACAATGTACTTACACAGCGATTAGTGTTCGTGAAAGACAGTGTGTGTGGGGGAAATGTCCTTAATACACCGTTGTAACACACACAAAAACACAGCCCTAAGCTACAATCTACTCCTAGACAGTACACTGATAATATACTGTCTCACAGCAGTGCACTGCTTCATGGGTCAACAGTTCACTTCATAGATACACACCACTCTCTTACCTGAACAACAGCAAGTACTTCTGGTAATGAATTCTGGGTAGGTGGAACGGGTGGCAAAAGGCAAAAAAGATGATGGGCAGGTGCATCAGATAGCATCTGGAGGTCATTGGGCGAGTTCTGGAGGGTAAAGACATATCAGAAAGTTGTACAATTATTCCATGAGAAAAGCTTCAAAGTCCAGTGCAATGTTAGTAGGTGACTTCTAAACAATCCTCCATTTTCTGAATTTAGGGCTATTAAGAAACTTGGAACTAGTACAATACTGAGGGATGAAGAAGCTCACGGGCAAGTTCATGGCTGTTAAACTACCAGACAGCATGTGCTTTTCTCAAATGAAACCTCTTGCTCCAATATGTATGGAACTGAACTTTCTATTTTTTATATAGCTACTTATCTCTTAATCTACCAAGCCTCAAATATTTTTTTTTACATGTCAAATTTTCAGTACTCTACTTACAGACTTCACCACTCACATTCACTAGTCACCCATGGTCTCGAAACCTTGAGATGAATTATTACTCTTTTCAGCAGTACAATGGTACTACTCATTTGGTTAATTTAAGAGTACTAGAATACGGTAAAGAGAATTGCAGAAGAGGTTCATCACTGATACTATTTGACAAAGTTGTAGGCTCATCTAGAATTTAATCTCCAGAAATATTCCAGATATCTGTAAATCCAGTATATTCAGCCAAGACCAAGGCAGAGATCTTTTCAGAGAAAGGAGAATATGGATCTGGACACAACAAGAAGCAACTGAAGCTGTTCAGAAACCTCAATTAGGTCAATTCAATTAGATTGTCCTAACAAGCGCTGCTCCCTCCACAAAATTATAACTGAAATTTTGACAGAAGTAGCACAAGCTTTACCTTGTAGTGTGAAGCCACATAGAGGGCCATCAGTCTCTGCAGAAAAACTTCTGATGCTCTGTGGTAACAAAAAAGTGTGTCTCTATTTACGTAGTATCTAAACACATGGGTTAAGGAAATCACCTCCTTGGTAACAAGGGAAAAGCTCCTTGTTGGTTTAGGAGGAATATTTTCAATACAGCCTTAGGCTGCATGCTGGCTTGTACTCTTAAGACTCTATCTACAAAAATTAATTACTTTGGGCAGTGTTCATAGGTTTCATACCCTTCATCCATAAAGATAAAGCTTTTGTAAGTCCAACAAGGACTTCCCTTCATTCAGCCCTTCCTTAGGATTGTCTCTGCCATAAAACTGAAGTTTGATAATGCCCTGGTAACACACACCACTGGTCTTACAAGGCAGCAGTAAGAGCTTAACTCCAGAAGTGTGGTGTTAATAGGCTTTGCCCAAAGATCATGTGCTGAGGTTATCAGGTTAGCTGGAGAACCCACCATTAACCAGCTTGAAAAAGCCTCCCATACCTAAAAGCGGTATTATTCTGATCAGAGCACAAGATTTGAGTAAGGATACAGGTCACACGTCTCAGGCAGTGGGCAGCCGGAGATAATTCTGGTGATGCTGAGACAGTCCAAACAGAGCAGATCATTTAGCCACTTTTCAACTGGGTCACCGGGGGCGTATCTGATTGACTCGTGGAGGGAGATTTCATGCAACGTACGAGCTGCAAACAGGTTTCAGAGAAGAAGATCTAGTGTTGGAAGTTACAGCTAGCAAAGAATCCAATAGGATCAGTGTCCTTTGAAGCGCTCCCAGGAGGTAAGAAAATCATTATTCACATAGCTTTCATCCCTTAAAAGCCTTTACATCTGAAAATCATGAGGTAAGAGCAGGGGAGAGCTCCTTCATTTTCCCATATCACTACCTTCCTACAGCCACAAAGTACAGGCACACACGGGATGCCCATGGGGAATGCCTGTGAGCAGCACTGAAGATGACAGTTATACACCACAGTCCAGAATAAAGTGGAGTACCTGAGGCGAGTTTAGCTGTAGCTGTAGATTTGTTCTCTGCTGTCATGGAGACTTGGGTTTGTGCACTCTGTTGACGGAGCTGCTGAATGAGCTTCAGAGATAGTGATCGACCAGTACCCTCATACCTGAAAAGCAGAAGACAAAAGTCTGAAGCAAATAACCAAACAGCAATCCTGAGCCATGAGGAAGCTCCACCACAGAACTAGGCTGCCCTCCAGAGCTATGTGCCATTCTGAGGCCTGTGAGGGCCCCAACCATGTATGAAATCTGCTGCCTTTTGATGTTCTTGTGCATGCTGGACAGGGCAGCCTACCCTGTCACTTTCTTAGTCTCACCATATTGGAAGGAAGATGTCATTCTTCCCTCTGTCCTAACAGAATCCTGTTTATATATAATTTGCTCCTTGTAGGAGAACAGAAGAGGTGTAAGTCGAACACTTAACAAATCCACACTGTAGCCACAAGAAAGCAGCAAGTTCAAGTACTGACTCTTGGTTATTTTAAGGACCAGCTTCATGATATAAAGAATTAGCATGACTTGATGTAACAGTGTGTAATTAAAAAAAAAAATACTTAAGATAAGAAATAGTCCACTTGCACAACTGCTTCTCCAGGCAGACAGTCGCTGCTCAAGCCTTACCCATTGATCGTAGAAGCCATGAAAACAAGATAAGGGCCCAGCAGGTTTTTCACCAGGGGTAGAGGAATGGCAGCAGCTTCATCAATCACAACAAGTTCAGCTTGACCCAGTTTCACAGAATCAGCAGGGTGTATGTACTGCAAGGAGAAGACATCGTCATTGTCCACAACAACTTGTCCGGGAATTAGGGAAATGTCAGAGTTGGCAAAGCTGGAGCCCTGAAAAGCTGTTTGTTGTCCCTGTTCTCTATGACCATCAAACCAGAGACTGAGACAGGAAAACAAACAGCTGGGAGAGGGTTCGTATAACCCTAACAAGGACTGGGTCACACATCTTGTTTTGCACACTTTCACACAAATCTGTCTGCAGAGACCATAAAATTATAGAAAATCTAATCATTAGAAACATATGCTCTTCCTTCACTGTTTTCTTTCATCTTCTTTTGCTTTTGTTTCAAGAAGAAACCCACGAGCAATTACCAAGGGAGCTTTGTAAGCTGCAAATTATTCACAGAAAGAAAGAAGGTATTTTGTGAAAGTCACTCACCAGAAAAGAAAAGGTTTTAAAGCAAAATCAATAGGGATAGTTACACATCACATAAAATGAACATGCAAGTTAGGAACAAAAAGTGGAAAGGCAAGAGTGCAAAAGAAGCCAGTTACCTGAATGGTTTGTCTGTGCTCCTTGAACACATTCACTCGGACAACAGCCTTGTTAAACTCCGGATTTAAAGACTGAACAATCTCATAGTCTAGATGTTCCTGAAAGAAAACATTATTAAACAGTCTGAACAAGCCAAGATCTAGGAAAAATATCATCTGCCGTTATCATCAAAATAAGCTCACTAAACATACACTGTTATTTCAGATTCTAGTTAAAAACTCTTATAACAAAAGCTGCAGAGGCCTTAAAACTGAGAAATTGTTTTATTTCTGTTAAAAACTACTTCACAAAGAAACTGATTTACCCAACTTAAAAACAGAGATGAAAAAATAACTGTCCTATGATTCATTTTTGTAGGACATTACTAAAAAGGCTGGAAACTAATATAGGTAAAAAAAAACCCCAAAACAACAACAAAACAGATGAGATGCAAAACCCCTCCTGAACAGGAAGGCTGTGAAAGTATTGTAAAATAGTCTGTTCTGCTCACCTGATACTGCAGTGCATCAAAGCCTTTAAATATGAACTCAAAGAGAGTGTGAAGGTTATCAGGACTTGGAGATGTGACAAAGATATTGGAGTAACTGCACAGAAAAATAAAACAAGAGTTTAACACTTTTTCTAACAAATTTTACATACACATACTAAGTAGAATGTTTTCTTCATATAAGGGGTTGATTTTACCTAATAACCAAAACACAGCAGATTCCTTTAGACACTTGTCTCAATTTACGTGTGATTATTTTGGTTTTTAAAGAGTGAGGTTTTCTTATTACTATAAAATAGAAAAACTTGAATATTGATGTATGCAGTAATCAAGATACAAGAAGAATAAAAATGACGGATATAGGACTGGAAATCACATATATATTCAGATCCTATAATCTTTATTTTCATTAAACTCACAGATACAAAGCAAGCCTGGGAAATCAGGGGGGGATCACTCACCCAAAAGCTACTGCTCCAGCTATAGCCAGTCCCAAAGCAGCAGATTTACCACGTCCCCTGGCTGCTGTTAATGCCACAGTACTCCGTAGAGTCTTCTCAGAAATGGCTTCGATAAATTTTAGAACTGCTTTTGCCTAATGATTAAAAAAAAATAGAAAACAAACATCAGCTGTGTTTAAAGAGCTTTCATCATTACTTACAATTACCACTAATTACCACTAGTACATGCCTTCTTTCCTAGAACAGGAAGAAGGAAGTAAAAGACATGATGGGAAAGCTGAACATTAAAACCTAAACAAAAAATGTGCAAGAAGTGGTAATCTTGATCCACTGAATTCTTGAAATTACTCAGGTCAAACACAGATCAACAATCAGTACAGCAATTCTCAAGTACCACCTCTGTGACCACAGAGTATATTCAACAGGATGGGAAGAGGCACACTGCTCTCAGAGGTGATCATTTCAAACCCTTAGAACTCATCATCTTTTAAAATGTGGACTTCTCCAGATCAGCTTCCTGTCTCCATTCTAGACCTTCCATTTATTCTCAACTTCACGAAGAAAATCACTGATACTGTCATTAAGCTACCATGTCCACTCAATTCTTCAAGGAAATTCTCTAAGACCCACCCAACAATGTTCACACTCAAGTTTAATTACATGCCAGATGAGACACAAACATCAGTACCTAAGGTGACAGAGTATCTCACAATTAAACATCACACTAACCTGATCCAGAGTTTTACAGCCATCCACCAAAACTCCTACAGGTTGTGTATCCTGCAAGCTCTCCTTCAGTTCTTTCAGCTCCAAGTCCTGAGGCTGGAGCCTGTCTTCCTAAAAGCACAGAATTCACCACACAGGATTAGTAAAGGACCTTTCAAGACACTTATACCTTTGTGATGTCTTCTGATATCTTTGATCAGGCAGAGAAAGATATCTGAAAGAAAGTGTTTCCACACATTAAATATACTCCCTAGAAACAGAAAAATTTAAATGGACAGAGAGATATTTTAACACTTCAATTTTAATGCATCTTCAGGAGAGTGGTCACACAAGAAGTGGGTATCCTGGAAAAAAGCAAAGGATTTTCCAGTACATGGTAACTGGAGAATGGCATTGCCAGGAAAAAGAGACCATGGACCAATTTTCTGATAAATTCAACTAATTTTTCAGTTTCCAGGCTATACCAAAATTTTACAACTTTTGTTATACCTGTCAGATGAGGTGGACATATTGCCACATAGCGGGGGAACTACTGCAGCAGCAACAGATCAGTTTTCAAACAAATATCAAGACTTTCAAAGCCAAACAATAAACTTGGACACACAAGCAATCCATTTTAAATAGGATTGAATTCTTATTTTCCCAATTGTCACTTAAAATTCCAAAGGCATCAGTCTATCCATCCAACAGACAGGCATTTGTGCTGCTGTCAATATTGTTATAATGCTAACGGGGGTTTGTTTGGTTTTGTTTTTTAAAATCAGTGCTCTGTTAAAATGTTTCTACTATCTCTGACAGAACCTGTGTTGGTTATTTCTTAGGCCACCCAATGCAGATCAAAAGCGTAAAGATTTCTGTTTAAAACTGGTCCCATTTTACTTTAGTCTATAACTGAAAGTGATAAAAGGATACATTTCTAACAGTGCAAGCTGTATGTCTTGCTTGTATTCAGTGAATGTTTCCCAAGAAGTGTCATGTGTAACTCAGAAACTGAAACAACTACCACAGTTTCTAGGTAGCAGGTGTTTCCTGAGCTTGTAACGTGCTTATTTCCAAAGACCTTAGAAAAGTCTTTTTATCTGTCTTAACACCAACTATCTATCAGCTTGAAATCTCTCTATGCACTTCTGAAACAGCAACCACAGCAATTAAGCTCCACCTAGCCAGGCTAAAGAGCAATACAGCAAAATCAAGGACAAAAAACCCCAAACCTGTGATAGGAAAAAAATCAAGGGGGAAAGAAAAGGCAGCTTCCCATGCTTCACCCATACCAGGTGTAATTTTTGCAGAACATTCTCCTTCCTGTCTGCAAGACCATTATTTGATATAAATCAGGGTGAAACAAAAGCTTCTTCTTTTTTAAATCTCGAACACACCATGGTAAACTCAGACCAATTTCTCCCAAGGAAAAGTAGCTGATGTCGCTCACTGACCTGTGACTGTGGTGGAACAGGCGTGATGTTTGCAACGTGACTGGAAATGGGCAAGATATTCAGCTGGTCATCAATGACGATGCAATTCTTGCATGAGGCCAGAGACAGAATGAACCTGAGCAGTCAAGCAAAGGCAACTCAGTAAAAACACTAGCAACACAATTGCATTTTGGTCCTTAATTTTCTAAAATTTCTCTTTTCTAAACCTGGACAGTATTTACAGCTACAGATACTTACGGCTCACTCACCCAATGAGAGATGCTTATTCTATACAATAAAAGCAGAGAAAAGACCTTTACAAGACACTTCTAAAACCACAGAGACTACTCCACATTAGGCAGTTTTATGTTTTACAATAGTGCAATAAGTAACTGAGCTTCAGTGCATCTGGAGCACATGTTTCTCCAGAGGGTTTAAAGAAAGAGACTCAGAACAGTTTACAAATTTGTGTGTATTTGCATAAAACCCTTATAACACACGCCAAAATTTTGTATGCAATTCCTCTAACAACAAACTCTATTCACTTCCAGACAGTACATGAAAAACTTGACTGAAGCAGCCAAGAAGCCCTATTCCAACACAAACCTATAGGATGCTTTCCTAATACGAATACACAACATGATTCCAGATGCTTTTCTTGGGCATACAGCCTAGATCCTTTACACTCTTAATAACTTACCTCTCATTAAACCGTCCTACCACGTCCTGGTGTGCCTCGGTTCTGTATCGAGAGTGTACATCCTGAAACAAAAAGAAGTTGTCAGTAACATTATGAAAGATCCATATTTCTCAAATACTTGTTTAAAACGTTCTTTTTGCAACAACAGTTTTCACAATGGTCTTAATTATTCTTGCCTGACTTAAAGGTCAGTTCTGCCAGGTACAGAACACTTCAAACACCTCAGAGATGCTAAGAAAAAAACAGTCTATCCCCTTAGTTCACCTACTGGCATTATTACTAATGGAAACAGCTCCTGCTCTAGGAGCTCAATGTGAATAGGTCATATATAGAAATATATAGTAATTGTGAAGCTGATCTCGCCTAGCAACAGGTCACAGAACTCTCAAAAGGCCTATTTTTTATTTAAATTGTCTGTTACATGGGCAGAGGGCATAAAAACTTTCCAAAACTATTGTGAAACAAAAGAAGACAGTTCCATTTGTGAATGACAGATGTTTCCTCCTTGTAACCTAGCAGCATTTCAAAACACATAGGTTGGCAGGGCTGCCTAAGCTTAAGACACATTCAATCATAGTTGAATGAAGGAGCAGGAAAGAGGATGGAAGGAAGATCATAGCCCATAACAAAAGCAAAAAATAACCACTTAGCATCACCATGATGTGCCTGCTTAAATAAAGGAGACGTATTAAATTGAACATACCATGGTCATTGTATACAGCTGCTTCAGTGAGTTCATAGTTCTCAGGAGAATCACCACAATTCCACCACCTTCTACTGTTTCAACAGTTCTAGCTAGCAGGTTTGGAGTCAAGGCTTCAAAATCCTAGGAAATAAATAAAACTTCAAAGTTGTCTAGAGTTCATCAGCACAACTAGAACCTACTAAAAGGAACAGAAAGCCTAAAGACATTATTTCTCAAAGTTTCATTCACACTTATCATCTGCATTAACCAATGTCCCATTAAAATTCTCCCAACAAGGCTATCTCATCCTCACAAAACTTGTAAAAGACACATGAGACCATCATAATTGAAACAACAGAAGCAACAAATACTGCTCCTGCAGCATTTAAACTGAAAGGAATCAATACTAGTGTCCTTTTTAAGCCAAAAGTTTAACTCCTTACCTGAAGTACACACATCCCGAAAGTGTTACCAAGAATCTTGTGAGTTTCATTGTAATAGCAGTAGCGAATGTTTGTGGCTGCTATAAATAACTCAAAAGGATCATCATCCTTTATGTTTAAAGTTCCACTTTTAATCTTCTTCTGTAGTTGTCTCATCCTCTTCTTCCGGTGGCTGGAGAACAAAATTATACATATGTTTTCTTGGAGGAAGGTTTGAGAAAAGTACATTCAGGCCTATATTCAAGTCTAATCAGAAGTCAGAGTGCAGCCTCCAAGGAAAAAAATCTTGGATTAGAATTACTGCTTTTACAATACATCCCCATGTGCCTTCAGCTCAAAGTGGTGTGTACCACACAAACCAGCTGCAACTGCTGGGTTGGAATCACGCAGTTGCAGGTAACATTTCCCTCCTGACTTTGTGTGCAGACTGGAAGTAGGCAAACAAATTGAAGAATTAAAATTTTAAACACTTTTTCAAAATGAATGCATTCTAATGCTCAATCTGCATTCAGTCCTAAATATTACTGAGGCTAAAAAAATGAAGAATTAAAAGTTTTGGCCTTTTGAAGTTAAAAAGGTGAGGGAGAATATATTGGTCCAGGACAACAGAGTTAGTGTTAGAGCTACAGAAAGAAACCAGAAGTACCTAGTGTCAGCACTGTGTTACAGAAGTCAAATTTTAGTTCTGGAAGACCAAACTTCCTGTAGCTCCTCCAAGAACTAATCTTGTTTCTCCTTACAACTGAATCACGTAACCTGCGCTCAGCAGGTCAGTCACGGAGCTTTAGCTGGACACAGAGCAGTGACCACAGGATGAGACACAAGAAGTATCTTACCTGCTAAAGCCCAGCTCCTTTTTGTAACACCACAGGACAGAGGGTCTGGCCTTTACAGTTGCTTTAGACAACATGTGATGAAGTATAACCACCTGCCAAAACACAGAGGTGTTTGTGAACATCTGTACTCACAAGCTAACATCGAAGGGTTGGTCAAGGACTAGTCAGTGTGAGGTTAATGACTGGACTTGATGATCTTAAAGGTCTTTTCCAATCTAGGCAATTCTCTGATTCTGTGAAGAGCAAAATGTTTTTCTATACTCGATTTTACAGCTATGTTTTCTATCGAGCAACCCTGTGCAAAACAGACAGATCCCTTGGCGTGCTGTGAAGGTTAATTCCCTATTTACACAAACCTGTGTGTCTCTGCCTTCTCCAGGGCAGAATGACATTGAAGACACTGAGTTAGACCCACCATTTCCTTTGCATTCTTCCTTAGCAGAACTGCTAACAACTGCACAAACAGCAGGCAACTATTCCAGGCCAGATATAGCTCCTAGTATTTGTCTCTCAGTATAGATTTTGCACAATGTATTTCAGCCTTCTTGTACAATTTAATGATATTTCATTTTGAATTTTAGTAATCTAGTGGGTTTGCCAACCCACCTCACTGCTATGTAGCCAGCACATTCAGCAAGCACACTTGCTGCTTTGGAATCCAACTCATCAGTGAAAATACTGAACACAACCAGACTCAGGATATATCCCACCAGAACTCACTCATCCACTTCAGCAGTAAATGAACAAGTTTCTTCTACTACCACTTGATCAACTCATTATTCTCCTTTTTATTTTATTTTATTTTATTTATTTATTATTTTTTTAATAACTAGTTTATTTCATTTTCCCCGGAACAGGCACTAACTGAATTAACTTGTCCTAAAACATTACGGTTTTGCCGTGCTGCTCATCCCTTTTCCACTCAAACCCCACGAGTCTATAGAGTCTCTGAAGAGAAACAAGTTCAGTGGTTAATTTCTTCCATACAATGCTACCAGGCAGGTCCAGTCCAGCCTCTGGAGCGGTGATATTTACAGGGTGACTCACCTAAAACACAGCTCGAGCACAAAACCGTAACATCTTACAACAGAACTGAGATTGAGGAAATACTCCTGCCAAGCAGAATATTAAATGTCTTTTGTTTCATTTTAAAGGAATATTTCCATTTGCCTGCTCTTGCTTTTCTATAATGTTCAGGAGCTTCTCCAGCAGGAGATGCTGAAGGACAGAGTCTCCTAAACCATTTCTGAGGCCCCTTCGCGCTTCTGCACCGCGGTGTCACCCCCGCGCGAGCCCGGCCATTGCTCCGCCTTACCCGTGCGGTGTTAACACCCCCTTGACAGGGGCAAAACCCGCTACCGGGGGAGTTACAGATTAACCGAAGGGCTCGGTTCAGTACCCACCCCCCGCCCCGCAACAGGCC